GGATTTAAAATATAGATAGATAAAAGGGGATTTAAAAAGAAGGTATGGTCATCATGCATGTGCACGCACGTGCGTGCATTTGGAACGAGTGACATGAAAAATACTTTTGAAAGAGTGATTTTTCATACTTTTGGACTGAATCTTTAATATATTGTATATTAAGATATGTAGATAGTGTAGACAAGATGATATGATCATAACGCACATGCATTCACATGCGCACGGGTACAATGCTAAAATTTGAATATAAATGGTATCCTTCTGAGAAAACGTTGTTAAAGTCAAAAATGCACAGAGTTTGTCTTATTTAATGAAGCTTACAGGGAATATGGCACCAAAAAGGAGTTGGGGAGCGTTTGGGAACATCTGTAACGGTTCCGTTACAATTAGCACTAGTTACACTTGACGTTAAAAAAAGAAAACCCACTCTTCTACGCTTATGATCTCCATCACAAGACGGCTGAAAATAAATCATTACAATAATCAGTAAATGAAAGATAAAGTAAATCCATATGTATATATATTTAATAAAGAAATAAACGTTTAAGAAAATTATGTATTGGCTTAAAGGAATCCCAATAATTTTTTTTTTAAAGAAAAGTATAAAATACTAACGGCGGACGTCGTGGTGCGTTCGGCGGTTAAAGGAAAAAAAAAGATATCTATTTGTATGATCTAACTATTTATCTATCTGACTATATTTTAATAATACTTTTGTGATCCTTTTTTCTGCGTAATTTTATTTTTTCCAAAATAAAAAAAAGGGATTAGAAATACTCTTGTAATATACTAACCCATTTCTTTTGGGACTTTTCCCACCGGACTAATAAAAAATATTTAAAACAAAATTAATTTTTGTTTCCCCTTTTTTTTCTCGTTAAGTACGTAAAAAATAAATAAAAATGAGGAAATTATTAAAGTAAGGATTAAATTAATACACTCACGAAACATCAGGCGTACTGAAATAAAATTTACAGACTAAATGTAAAAAAAATTAATAAATTATAAAAATTAATAAAGTGTGAGTACAAAAAAAAAACACTAAATTTCTTCACACGTAATTATATAATCTCAATACCTGAAAAACGTTTTCCTCTTATGTAAACGTAAGGCCATTCTAAAAAAAAAATATTCACATCTCAAGTAAATGATTCATACTGATTTAATTTAAAATTAAAATAAAAAATAAGCAGAAAAACGGTAACAAAACCAAAAAAAAAAGAAAAGAAAAAAAAATAATAACTCACGGACACTCCATAGTTTTAATATCCTCCATGATATAATTCAGGAGTTTCAAAATCTCCTCTCTTTTTTACAAATGCAACTTAAAAAAAAAAATTAATAAAATATTTTTCTTTAAAAAAAAAAAAAAAAAAAAAAATTCGCAAAAGTTTTAATGAAAATACACTAACTTGTATGATGCCATCCTGATTGGAACCAGAGTGAAGTTCTGGGGTGTTTCCCTCAGTTTGAGTGGAACCACAGTGAAGTTCTGTGGTGTTTCCCTCAGTTTGAGTGGAACCACAGTGAAGTTCTGAGGTGTTTCCCTCAGTTTGAGTGGAACCACAGTGAAGTTTGTGGTGTTTCCCTCAGTTTGAGTGGAACCACAGTGAAGTTCTGAGGTCTTACCCTCAGTATGATTTGAACCAGACACAAGTACTGTGGTGTTTACCACAGTTTGAGTGGAACCAGAGTGAAGTTCTGTGGTGTTTCCCTCAGTTTGAGTGGAACCACAGTGAAGTTCTGAGGTGTTTCCCTCAGTTTGAGTGGAACCAGAGTGAAGTTCTGTGGTGTTTCCCTCAGTTTGAGTGGAACCACAGTGAAGTTCTGAGGTGTTTCCCTCAGTTTCCCTCAGTTTGAGTGGAACCACAGTGAAGTTCTGAGGTGTTCCCTCAGTTTGAGTGGAACCAGAGTGAAGTTCTGAGGTGTTTCCCTCAGTTTGATTGGAACCACAGTGAAGTTCTGAGGTGTTTCCCTCAGTTTGAGTGGAACCAGAGTGAAGTTCTGTGGTGTTTCCCTCAGTTTGAGTGGAACCAGAGTGAAGTTCTGTGGTGTTTCCCTCAGTTTGAGTGGAACCACAGTGAAGTTTGAGGTGTTTCCCTCAGTTTGAGTGGAACCAGAGTGAAGTTCTGTGGTGTTTCCCTCAGTTTGAGTGGAACCACAGTGAAGTTCTGAGGTGTTTCCCTCAGTTTGAGTGGAACCAGAGTGAAGTTCTGTGGTGTTTCCCTCAGTTTGAGTGGAACCAGAGTCAGTTTGAGGGGAACCACAGTGAAGTTCTGAGGTGTTTCCCTCAGTTTGAGTGGAACCAGAGTGAAGTTCTGTGGTGTTCCCTCAGTTTGAGTGGAACCACAGTGAATTCTGAGGTGTTTCCCTCAGTTTGAGGGGAACCACAGTGAAGTTCTGAGGTTTTCCCTCAGTTAGTGGAACCAGAGTGAAGTTCTGTGGTGTTTCCCTCAGTTTGAGTGGAACCACAGTGAAGTTCTGTGAAGTTACCAGCAGTTAGATACGAACCAGAGTGAGGATCTGTGGTGTTTCCCTCAGTTTGAGTGGAACCAGAGTGAAGTTCTGTGGTGTTTCCCTCAGTTTGAGTGGAACCAGAGTGAATTTCTGTGGTGTTTCCCTCAGTTTGAGTGGAACCAGAGTGAAGTTCTGTGGTGTTTCCCTCAGTTTGAGTGGAACCAGGGTGAAGTTCTGTGGTGTTTCCCTCAGTTTGAGTGGAACCACAGTGAAGTTCTGAGGTGTTTCCCTCAGTTTGAGTGGAACCACAGTGAAGTTCTGAGGTGTTTCCCTCAGTTTGAGTGGAACCAGAGTGAAGTTCTGTGGTGTTTCCCTCAGTTTGAGTGGAACCACAGTGAAGTTCTGAGGTGTTTCCCTCAGTTAGTGGAACCAGAGTGAAGTTCTGTGGTTTTCCCTCAGTTTGAGTGGAACCAAAGTGAAGTTCTGAGGTGTTTCCCTCAGTTTCCCTCAGTTTGAGTGGAACCACAGTGAAGTTCTGAGGTGTTTCCCTCAGTTTGAGTGGAACCATAGTGAAGTTCTGTGGTGTTTCCCTCAGTTTGAGTGGAACCAAAGTGAAGTTCTGAGGTGTTTTCCTCAGTTTGAGTGGAACCAAAGTGAAGTTCTGTGTTTCCCTCAGTTTTTATAAGAAAAAAAAATAACCATGTGATTCTTATCATTGTTTGGGTAGATATTTTAAAAATAACTTTTCATACAATAACTATAGCAAGAGGGTGTAACGAATTTTGAAATCATACCTTCAATAAATTTTACTGTAACCTGACATATTTTTCACAGTCATACGGGTCGGTACGATGATATTTCCAGATTATCTCATTAATGATGTCAAACTTAATCAGTGAAACAAATTTAACCATGTCATTTGACGACAGTATCAATTTTTTCCATTCATTTCAACCGATTTCTATTTCACTCGCTTATCTGATACAAACGTACTTAAATTATTCATATTTTCTTTCCTTTTTTCCTTTAAATAATTTTACTGATGATCTTAATGTAAAGGAAATTGTCATGTTGGACTAAACAAACGAAAGTATTCAATGTCCAGGTATATGTACATTCTCTATTTCTCAATCTCCCTTTCTCGTAAAATATCACTAAAATCAAGTAAAAAATAATGCATTCCTTAAATACCCCCCCCCCCTTTCAAAAATAGAGCCTGACTGTAATCGTAACTACTCGGTCATTTCCGTGAACGATAAATAACTATTTTTCTTTCCGGAAAATGGCCAAGTAGTTACGAATGAGCCTAGCTGATGTAATCATATACACTTGCCGTGGGAAAAACTCCGCCCACTGTCAGTTCAAGCCAATCAAAACCACAAGATTTTAGCGAAGGCTGCAAAATTATAGATCTTTGATCTGATTTTTCCCAGGAAGACAATGCCTTGCGACTTTCTATTAGATGAACCTGTCTGTTCTGGTATGTTACCTATATTCAATATTTCACTTATTGAGTAAATTTATTACATTACCCGTTTTAGGTGAAAGGCAGTTGGGATAATACTTTCACGTTTTACGATTTGTAGATATCTTAATTTCTCATTTTTCAGAACTCACTACAGTCACAATGACAACACCATCACAAAACGAAATGGGTAATACATCTTTTTTGTGTTTTCTAACTTTCTTATTTTTGTTCACTGTTGACTTGCATTTTTCAATTGACTCTAGATTTCAACACTTCGCTTCGTCACAACGTAACCGACCTCATGACAAAAGCGACTACTTCGTTTTCCGTCAACACTCACAAGTCTGGACCTTTCTCTGCATTCACAAAGAGACACAAACAAAATGCACAAACTTCAATTGCAAATTATAATGTGTCCTCAGATCGTGTACTAACACATACGGCTTAGTCCAGTACACTATACAGTACATGACTAGTCTACTCAAAAACGTGATACCCTGGACAATGTTACTTCTGCCATTGACACCACTTGCTCACACAATGTTACTTTAACCATTGACACCACTCGCTCACAATGTTACTTAAAACCACTGTCACCACTCCTCACACAATGTTACTACTCCCCTTGACACCACTCCCTCACACAATGTTACTACTCCCATTGACACCACTCGTTCACACAATGTTACTACTCCATTGACACCACTCGCTCACACAATGTTACTACTCCCATTGACACCACTCCCTCACGCAATGTTACTACTCCCATTGACACCACTCGCTCCACAATGTTACTACTCCCATTGACACCACTCGTTCACACAATACTTCAACCATTGGCACCACTCGTTCACAGACCGTCACTAATAGGTCCCATAAACACACATTACCTCCCTACCTACCTACAACCCAACAGTCTTACTTGTCCGCTACTTTACAGATAACATTTGTGTATTCAATGTAGATTTTAAAAAACTGAAACGAAATCTGTGAACTCTTTCTGTGTAGGAGTAGCAAAGATGATTTCGAATGGTAATTTGTTATATCCTTCACCTGTGTTATTAATTAAAAGCATTTTCACAATCAAAATACAAAGATTGTAAGGGAGGCGACTATAGCGTTTTGAGGGTGTTTCCGCGATTACGAAGACTAAAGAAAATAAAGACGAGCGTGCCATGTATGATTGTATCTTTTCATATTTGAAGAAATGGGTATTTATATTTTGTCTGTGCATATAATTTCCTCTGCAAATGTGAGTGCGATTCTCAGTCTGGGGGAGGGGGTACTCTGTGTTATTCAGAGATAGATATCTTGCGTTATTATCGTGCTATGGCGGGTTAAAATTTATTACCAAAAGAAGTTCCTCTGAGTAACATTCAATAAATTCTCAAACATTTACATTCAACTTATTTATGGTTTATACTATCTCTGTAAAACATAAGGATTGATTGATATTGTTTAACGTCCCTCTCGAGCATTTTTCACTCATATGGAGACGCCACCATTTGCCGGGGTTTGAGAGCTGCAAATTTTATCCTTTATTCGGCACTCGGGGCCATTGAGCAGGGAGGGATCTTTTTCGTGCCAGCACCTACTGCGACACGGGACCTCGGTTTATACGGTCTGATCCGAAGGACCGGTCTCCATGTCCCGCAGTGGGATTTAACCCGCGACGTAAGGATTGATTCCTTACTTCGCACTTAAGCAGACGCTCCAACAAATGCGCCATGCGGGCGACTAAAACATTAGGAAGATAAACATTGAATTAATAAATTTGGGAAAATATTATTTATATAATAAATTGACCTCAATGCACGGTCAATATGCATTTATAATGACCCATGTATCTGAGGTCAATACTGTCAGCCTGGGTCATTATAAATGCATATTGTCCTACATCGAGTCCATATTTGTATATTGTCACACACCGATGACGTCCTATATGTTCATGAAGTAACTTGGTCCGAATTGATCTTGTGTAAAGAAATTTAGCTAAGACGGCGGGTACAAAGTAAAATGGAGTTTAAAAGAAAATATCGTGAATATTATGTGAAATTCAGACGGAGTTCAATTAATAATACAGGTATGCAAATTAATTTTTATCGATTATATTCTCTTTTGAAGACAGTCAGCTATATACGTAACCCGGTCGGTCTTTTCTGTGTCATTCGAGACAAAAATATTGCGATAGAACAACAATAAGCTGGATATTTCAAAACAATAGATCTGTACAGATGGAACAAGGTTTTCTCTTGGTCTTGAAAACAAGGACCTGGGCCTTTCCATTTGGAAAAATAGTGACATTTGGTTAAAATTGGGAAAAATCTCATATTTAACATTTTTCTATATAAATTCAAGTACGAAGGGTTTTTTTTTACTCGCAATGTATTTCTTTGACTAATTTTACATTCAGTCAATCAGTTTTGGAGAACGCCTTTTAGATTTTTATTTGGAACAACATTTTTATCATACTTATTACTGAGTTTTAACATTTTTAAACCGATTTGTTTGTTTGGATTCTCTTTTAGGAATTTGCTTTAATGAAATTGGGAAAAATACAACTTTTTACCATTGGGAAAGGGGTCTCGTACAGGCCCCCTAGACCCCTGAAAAATCCCTGTGGAAAGTTTGCCCGCTGACAAACTTGGGAAGCGTTATCACAATTAAGATGATTTATTATAGAATAAATTTAATGAGACCTCACAACAATTTGAAAAATATGTAGAAAATACAATTTTAAAAATAATCACAGGTTTCCAATTTTTAAATTGCTAGCAAGTTGTTATGTAATTTTAAAGTAAGGTATTTTTATTTTCTGTTTACCGTTTCAAACTTAAATCTGGTGAAGTTCAATTATTATGTCTGTTTAAATTCAGAGTTAAAATCCAAGTGAGGAGGAGGAACACAGGACAGGAATATACTTATGTTAGGTCCAAGGAGTTTGGAACTTTTATGAATGATCCCAACAAAGGTAGGTCTTACATTTTTAAAAGGAACTATATACAGTTTTCATACATTATAAATGCTTAATTTATTATACATATTAACTAAAAAAACAGGTTTCCCCCTTCATAGTTGTCATGTTAACCTTTGGGAAAAAAGTTTTGAGAGGTAGTCTAATCTTAGCTTTTGCATTGATTTATATAATTTAATGTTTTTATTATTCATATCCAGACATTTTGGGAATATTTACAAACTTATATTTGATTTTCCATCTGACCCGCCTTCTGAATCACTGCTTCAACTGCATTGCATCCTGAATTCAATGCCCACCTTGGTTGTTGAAACACCATATTATGGTATTTTCCCCGAACACTTTTTATCTTATACGATAATGATACGAAAATTTGTCTGTAAAAATAAAGGAATAACATTTTCCCTAACCGGGTACTCGTGGTGAAAGCTTTTTTGCAATTGAACCGGAAGTAGAACTCTTTACTTTATAAATTACCAAAATTTCTAGCCAACTTTGGGTTAAAGGAGAAAACTATCTCAAGTTATCAATGATCAACCCAAAGGGGGTTTCTGAACAATGGTAACGCAAAAAAACACGGTTGTAATTTTTATCAATTTAATAAAGTGAGAATTAACCGTTGTAAATGATAACAAATAATAAATAATATGAAAATTTAACAAACAGAAGTTTTTTGAAAATGGCACAGGATAAATAAAGCTTTATCAAAAATGTAATTTAATCTAAAAAATGAATCTCAATGAATAATCTCAATAAATAAATAATTGAAAAATGTAATGAAAAAGGGGAGGAATGTGGCAAAATGAAAAATAATCTATGTCCCTACTGGGCTTCCATATTTTATACACCAGACACAACCGTACACCAAGCGAACCCGGAGCGGACCCCGGGTTGTTTTCAGAAATTTTTTCGCTGGGGGTCATTTGGGCCCACGAGCAACCCCCTTTTTCCCACTGAGCTAAGGGGCCCCCCAATCTCACCGCCGAAAAGCCCCGCCCCTTGAATTTTCCAACAGAAAGGTATTGTTGATCGATCATTGTTGTTTATGCGACGATGCGGCATGTACACTGTACTTTAAACAGGAAAAAGAAACTTTGATAAATTTTATAAAATTATACTGTACATT